AGTAGCTGGGACTACAGGCACACGCCACCATGCCCAGCTGATTTTTTATATTTTTAGTAGAGACGGGGTTTCACCATGTTGACCAGGATGGTCTCGATCTCTTGACCTCGTGATCCACCCGCCTCGGCCTCCCAAAGTGCTGGGATTACAGGCTTGAGCCACCGCGCCCGGCAAATGCAATTCTTAAAAATTAATAACGTCATTCTTAAAAGCATGGCAGTCTAGGGCAGGGCGCAGTGGCTCATGCCTGTAATCCCAGTACTTTGGGAGGCCGAGGTGAGTGGATCACTTGAGGTCAGGAGTTCAAGACCAACCTGGCCAACATGGGGAAACCCCTTCTCTACTAAAAATACAAAAATTAGCCAGCATGGTGGGCATGTACCTGTTATTTCAGCTACTCAGGAGGCTGAGGCACGAGAATCGCTTGAACCTGGTTGTGGGGGCGGGGGGCGGAGGTTTCGGTGAGCCAAGATACTGCCACTGCACTCCAGCCTTGGTGATAGAGCGAGACTCTGTCTCAAAAATAAATAAATAAATAAATAAATAAATAAAATAGTGGAAGTCTAAATCACCTCCCTTCGAATATGGGCTGAACTTGGTTACTGGATTCTATTGGCATGATGCTGTCTGCCTTCCTAGGCCAAGTAATAAGAGGTCCTTTGACTTCTACCTGGCTGTCTTAGCTGAGAGTCCTGAGCCAACGTGTAGGAGGCCAGGTGCCCTGCAACAAGGTGCTGGAGAGTCCTCACAGCTTTAGCGAATGATGCCCGCCTGATGCCAGCTATCAGGGTCTGCCCCACCTGGGCCTCAGGCAGGTGAGAAAGCCCCCAGATTGTCCCAGCCCCCACTTGGGGCCACCTCAGCCAACACAGTACGGAGGTGGATGGAGCAGAGATGAGCTCTCCCATGAAGCCTGCCAAATTGCAGATTCATCAACAAAGATGAGTGTTGGTGTTTTATGCCATGAAGTTTTGGGGTGGTTTGTAAAACAGCTGTAGATAAATGAAACAGTAAACATATTACTTATGTAGTCGAATTTATTTCAATTTAATTTAAAATCATCCGATTTAAATAAAACAGATTTAAACTACATAAAGATGTCTCTTGCAAACAAGTTGGTAAATTGAATGGTTTTCATTCTCATGGTCTCTATCTTGCCTCTATAAAGGTATTAAAGGTGCAGAAATGCTTTCACCTGAATACTGAACAAAGCTTAGAGTTTTGGGGTGATCAGTGAAGTGAAGCGATGGGGAATATAGTTCTATTGGAAACCTCTGCCTCCGGAAGGCAAGGGTGGGGAAGAGAAAGGTGGCTGGGGCTACGTACCGTGAAGGGGCAGGTTTCCAACCCAGAAATGAAAGACAAACCTGGACAGCGAGTCCTTGGAATAAAACCCAGAATGGGGAGGAGTTAAGTGAGTGACTGATACACATGAGATGGGATTTCAGGAGGCTTGAGAAGGGAAGGAGGTTATATGGCCTAAGACCAGGAGCACTGAGGAGCTAAAGGTTTATTCATTAAGCTTAGAAGAACTAAAAGAGCCGGGTGCAGTGGCTCATGTCTGTAATCCCAGCACTTTGGGAGGCTGAAGGGGGCGGATCATGAGGTCAGGTGTTCAAGACTAGCCTGACCAACATGATGAAACCCTGTGTCTACTAAAAATAGAAAAATTAGGTGGGTGTGGTGGTGAGCACCTGTAATCCCAGCTACTCAGGAAGTTGAGGCAGGAGAATCACTTGAACTTAGGAGGTGGAGGTTGCAGTGAGCCAAGTTCACACCACTGCACTCCAGCTTGGTAACAGAGCAAGAAACTCAGTCTAAAAAAAAAAAAGAACTTAAAAGAAATCTATAATGTATCCGCCCCAAGGATTCTCCACTGTCCCTTCCTGTTTATTTGCTCTATCACTCCATCATCTCTGAAACTCCTGCTTGTTTGTACCTGCTTGATGTCTGTCTCTCTGTATTAGTCAGGACAAGCTAACTGCTGCAACAAACACCCCAAAATGTAGGGCCTCAACTCAATACTGGTGTGTTTCTGCTGCTCATAACAGTTCAGTGCCACTATTTGGTGAACAAATTTCCCCCTGCTGTGTCTGGGACCTGGGTCCCTCTTGTCTCCAAGCTCTGCCCTTTTCTCACCCAGAGGTTTCCCTAACTAGCCAGGGATGAAGATGAAAAGAGATCATCTCGTGGGGGAGGGCTTTATGGGCCAGGCCTGCAAGTGGAGCACATCCGTCAGGCAGAACTCAGTCACATGGCCACCCTCACTGCAAGCGAAGCTGGAAATGTCGCCCAGCTGGGGGCCCAGGAGCAAGAGAGGAGGAGCCATGGCTGCCTTGCTCTCCCAGTCTCAGACCCCAGCGTATCAGCTCTCATCCACCTTATTGTCTGTGTCTGGCACTGCACCTGGCGTGTAATGGGTCACCAGCAAATGTGGAGTCTATGAATAAATGAATGGTGCTCAGGCTGGGTCCTGGGAGCCAGACCAGGTGGGCACTTTCCTAGTACGTGCTGGGGCGGGGAGGGGAGGGGAGAGAGGGAGGGATGCAGCCACTCCCATTTTTCAGATCAGGAAACTGAGGCTCTGAGAGCAATGCCACATGCACAAGGCCACATAGCTTCTCAGTGCCAGCTCTCAAATTCAGCCTCTGCCACCAAATGTCTGTTCTCTCCACTTCCCTGGCTGCCTCTCTAACACACACACTGACCGACTCGGAGTCTGGTTATCTTCAAGGCTGCTCTCCTTTCTAACAACCAATGAACCATGTTTGACAAGCTGCAGGTTGCTTGAGGTGACGGCTGTATGTCTCTCATCCCTACATGCCCTGTGGCTACTGGCACAGCCCTTGAACACAGTAGGTGCTCAAACCATGTTTGGGGGATTAATTTGTTCACACAGGCTCAGGCTTCATGCTTTGCTGCTTGCACAGTACGGAGGTCACTTACAACTTATAAAAGAAATCGAGGGGATATTTATTATACGGCCCCTCCCTGGGCAGAGTCAGAGCTGTCTCTGAAACAAGACCATTGTCCTCCGTGAAACTTGCTCCCGAAGCAGGGGCTGGGGCTGCGTCATGTGGGGGTCAAGACCTCAGATGTCACCTGGCCTCCATCAGGGTTAGACTATGGATCCCTGCCACATACAGAGACTGACCTTCCTTGTCCCCAGCTAGTCAGTCCCCGGAAAGAGAACTGATGGAGGCGCTGTGTGTCTCTGTCCGCGGTGCTGAACTCCCCTCTAACTCTCTCACCTCCTTCTCTAACCTAGCAGCGACTTGTGACCTCCTGAAGGGCCAGGTAAAAATACAGATTCCCTGGCCCTTTCTTTAAAGACTTGGGTTCTGAGGGTCTCATATGGAGCCCTGGGATCTGTTTAAACCAAATATCGTAAGTACCTGTGATTCTATCCAGTCATTTTGAGACTAGCCTGAGTTTGAACACTGACCTCAATAATCAGTTGGTCTTCATGGAGTGCCTGCCATGTACCAAGCACCTGTGCAAGATACCATGAGGCACAGAGCTGAATCAGGCAGGGTAATGTGGGGAGGGAAGGAGAGAGGGGACCCCTTCTGTTTTGTGGGGACACAGAACCAGGCACATACCTGGCCTTTATCCTGAAAGATGAGATAATTAGCATGTGAGAACAGTAGTTATCATAACCATAACTAGCACCTGTATCTTTCCTTGGGGTCTCCACGGCTCTCTCTGCAAGGCAGAGTATGACACACTCTGCTCCTTCAGACCTCCTCGTGGCCTAGGACCCAGACAAAACACCATTCCACACATCAATGTGCCTGATGTGTGCTGCCCTGAACACCCCCAGAATGAAGTCCTCCCTCTCCGCACCCCATGGTTGCATTTTATCATTGTTTACATGATGTGCTATGTTTTCAGTCGTGTCCCAACTGGGATTTGGACTCCCGATTGAGAGCAGGGCTTGCACCTGATTGTCCCATGTGGCATCTGACACAGGGACCCATCCCATCCCCACTTCCACCTCCCCCACCCCTGCCAGAGGAGGTGAGAAATTATCGGAGGATGAGTGGGGAGAGGAATGTGCCCAGGGGAAGGGCTCCTGGTTGCAAAGCAGCTGAGACAAGGGCTCAGAACCCAAAGAAATCAGGGTGGGCCTCTGAGAAACCAGGCAACAGGCCAAGTGCAAATCAGGCAGGGGCAGGCATTGAGTCAAGGCCTTCCTTTCCTTCTCCGGGTGTTTGGGGCTAACAGGAGGTGGGGCCAGGACAGCTGTGCCTGGTGAAACAGATGTTCTCTGGGCCTCAATGTGGGGCATGGAGGAGGGGGGAACTGGAAGGGGAGGGCCACAGCCAGAGAAATGAAATATCCACAGACCCATTTCTGTTTATTCCATTTTACTTGTAGCATGGAAAGTCCCAAAACCCCTACAGAAGTAGATGGACTGGTTTGAGGAGCTCCCACGTACCCATCACCCAGCTCGAAGTGCCATCCCCACCTTGCAGTTCTCATTCCATTTCTCCCTCAAGCCCCTTCGTTAACAAAAATGTCAGACGCCAGATCATTTCACCCATGAATATTTCAGGATGTATTTCTCACACATTAGCACATTTCTAAAAACAAGCACATCATCACCACACCTAATTAAACAAACCATTCCTTAAGATCCTCTAATAAGAAATTCATCTTCGCATGTTCTCATTTTCCTGAAAAACGTCCTTTTACGGTTCATCTGTTTGAATAAAGATCTAAACAAGGTCTATACATTCCCAGGCTGGAGTGTAGTAGCATGATCTCGAGCCCGGCTTACTACAACCTCTGCCTCCTGGGTTCAAGTGATTCTCTTGCCTTAGCCTCCTGAGTAGCTGGGACTACAGGTGCCTGCCACCACGCCCAGCTAATTTTTGTATTTTTAGTAGAGACGGGGTTTCACCATGTTGGCCAGGATGCTCTCAAACTCCTGACTTCAAGTGATCCTTTTGTCTCAGTCTCCCAAAGTGCTGGGGTTACAGGCATGAGCCACGGCGCCTGGCCTATACGCTGCATTTTGGTGCTTTATCTCTTAAATCTCTTTGCATCTCTAACTGTCCTTTCTCCCTTCCTTTTTATGCCCTTTTACTTGAGGAAACCTGGCCCTTTGTCATGTGAGACTGCCCTCCTTGTTGATGTGGCGGACCGAACCCTCATGGTGTCATTTAACGTGGGGCACTGTCCTGCTTCCTGCAGACTGGCATTTAGGTCCAGAGGGTTGATGTGGTGTAGGGTCAATTATTCTGGCAAGCAGACTTCCTGGGAAGCGCTGCGTCCTTCCTATGGGATCACACCTGGAGCATACTAAGAATGCTTCCTGGGTGATACTAAGAATGCTTGGTGCGTTCTGGTGTTGCAAGCCTGATCTCTCCATTGGAAAGCCCCCATCATCTTGCCTTAGTCATTTCAGTACCTTTCATAGAATTTTTTTTTTT